CCCTCCCTTCCCTGGCCTGCCTCAGGTATTTCATTATAGATGAAAAGTTGACTAAGGCAGATATGAGGGACCGTCATCTTTGGGGGACCACTATTCTACCTAGTGTGTGTGTTAAATGGACAAATGACTGGTGCACTCTAAAGGAATAAGCAGAAACGAACTGGACGCTTCTCATTGCCCAGGGACAGCCCAGTTCCCCTGGAGACATCACGAGGGGGCTTCACATCCCCCCCCACCAGCTTGGCCACCAGCAACCTCTTTAACTCCTCTGCCAGGAGTTCTCTGTTTAGTAAAATCTGGGGCTGGGGTGCGGCTCAGCATAGTGCTTCCCAAGGAGGCCCTGGCTCCATCCTCAGCACCCGAGAAAATGCAGATGGAAATCTCTGCCTCGAAGCAGCCCGGCTCCTGTTTCTGTGCTTCCTGCTTTAGCTCAATCAGCCAGAGCCACGGCTCTAGCCTTGGCAGGAGAAGACCATAGGGGCTATCCTGCGGAGTCAAGGTAGCCTCAGCCAAAGGCAGGCGCTGGTCATGTCCAGAGTGGGGTGTGACCCAGAGCACACAGCTGCCACTGACTCTGGGAAATTCCAACTCTGCTACTGCCCTGGCCAGAGATCGGAGCAAAGGGCAATCTGCAGTGTGAAGATGACAAAGACACAATTTAAAAGGTGTGACTACAATCAGCCAGGGCACTCCAGTGTCTAGTATCATCTCCACTGGTCCTGACCCAAATCGAGCTCCGGCTCCTTTCTGTCCAGCGGCCCTGCAGTCTGCCCTCTCCAACCACCCCAAGACAACCTGCCAGCTCCACCACCCAACCCCTCTACTGGCCGCTCCCCCAAAGAGGAAGAGGAAGGGCTCCCCTCACTGTCAACACTGTAACTAAGGGATCCAAGTTACCTCCACAAATGACGGGACAGACAAACACCAGCCCGTTCCCCACTCAGGCTGGCCTCAGGACATGCCATCGTCCGCGGTACTCCTGCCAAAGACGCACAGTCGAGTACCATTAGGGGAAGCACTTAGGAAGCTCAGGCAGTGGCACACTAACGGACAACTGGCTCCCGGCGTCAATGTCATGAAACATAAGGGCATCGATACGTTCTAGAGCAGGGTCAGCAAACTGTCTCTGTAAAGGGCCAGAGGGTAAACAGCTTAGCATCGTGGGTGAAGGCGGCCAGGACCTAACATCTCAAAATACACCACACTGGTGCGCGGATGGCTTAGAGCAGGAGGAGCAGCAGAGGCTAGGAGGGGTTCTCGAGTCTCCTCCATCTGACCGAAGGCAGATGCTCCAGGTACAGCAGCCAGGCGAGGAGCTCCGAGGTTCACGTCCAGTCCAGGCAGGCCATCACCTACTCATCTGAGTTTCCACACGCACTTGCTCTTCCTGGACTGCCCTCAAGCTCGCCTGCCCTCTCTTATGGAAAGGATTTCGACTTCACTTATTTTTCATGTGATGTCCAGTGCATTATAATAGGTTTGGTTTGGTTTTGGTGCTGGAGATGGAACCCAGGCCCTTGAGCAAGCTAAAGACATGCCTTACCACTGAGCTGCACCCCAGTGCCAGATCAATTTTATGCTAATACCTTCTGTTAATCGTCTATGGGTCTTTCAAAGGCTCAATTATCAAACCATGGAGGGAGAGAAGGGAAGCTCCCATGACTCCTACATAAGCCAAACAAATATGGAAACAACAGACCTGCCAGTGTTACCACTTAAAATGTATTTACAGCTGGCATGGGGGCACATGCCATGCCTGTGATTCCAGTGGCTTAGGAGGCTGAGGCAGGAGGACCACAAGTTCAAAGCCAACAACTTAGCAAGAGTGTACTTCAAATAAAAAGGAGTGGGGATGTGGTTCAGCGATTAAGCACCCCTAAGTTCAATCACTAGTACCATAAAAATATTATATATAGGGCTGGGGATGTGGCTCAAGCGGTAGCGCGCTCGCCCGGCATGCGTGCGGCCGGGGTTCGATCCTCAGCACCACATACC